AATCATAAACATCGACTTCATTATTGCGTGCCAAATCTCAGCGTTCTGGCCTTTCAAAATATCATTAGAATGTATTTCACTCATTGACGATTTTCGATACGCACTATGAATGCACTTTTCGTAATTTTTTCACAGAAGCTTACACAGGAATTACCTCTTACGGAATGAAGATATTATTTGAAATCCCTTTCCCAAGCCACCCGTGCTGTTGACGCCCTGCCCCAGTTCAAGTCCAAGTTCTTGACCTTTTTTTAACATCGGCCTATGGCTGACTGTTACTACAAAATAAATACGTGCACTGTTTCTGTACAGCGTCTTGGGACAATGTATGAAAACACATTGTATTGTATCATTGCACCTTTCTGTGGTCCAGTGTGATAAAGTAACAATTTAAAGGAGCTGCCCTGAAATTGCTCGCTCACGGCACTGCTGGCGGTAGGGCTTCTCCCCTAGAGAGCACTTCTAGAGGGAAGTTTTGACCTATTCTTCCCCGCTGGCCAAGACGTCTTTGAAGACGTGTGAGTAGCCACACTTTACCCCATCACACGCTACCCGCCGGTCGGAGGGTTTGGGGGGTGAGTGACTATTGATCGGTCACCAGCCCTGGAGTACCGCAAATATAGAGTTCAACGCATACAGGTAAAGGTGCAGCATTGCAATTGTTTGCTCGGGCCATCAGAGGGAGGTCTAAAGAGCCCCTCGGCTGAGGATATTTATAGCCAACTCTTCCCACTCTGCCAAGACGTCTCGGAAGACGTAAATAAAATAGTCGGCAAGAGTGGCAGAATGGCTTTGAATTGTTGAAGACGAAAAAAACTAACCATCCTCTCTTTCTCTCTCCAGATCGCGTATATATGGAAGGACACTAGGATACGTGAATAAGAGATGCAGTCGTATGGCGGTGAACGCGCTCCGTTGCGAGCTTTTGTTTTTAAAGTGCGGATTTGTTAATAATTCAGTGAGCGTCTTGGGCGCACAAAGCAAAAACCTAATTTATGTTGCCTCTATGGCGGCGGCAACAGTACACGCTATTCATCTGAGACGACGGAGCAAGTGCACAATTGAGCTTTCTTAAGTGGGGTGGGGATTGCCCGTTATTGTAGCGCATCGAGCGAGGGGGTTAACGCCACGGCTGATGTGGGAAAATAGATACAAGTAAATAATTTATGACGGCCTTATGTAAAAAAGCGCATAGATCGGCCGCGCGAAACGCAATGCAAATGAGACGTAACAAAAAGTTGCATGCAAAAATATGCGATGGATACATTAGCAGCGGAAGGGACAGCCCCCCCCCCCCACCCATGAGGCTCGGAGTACGATTTATGACGGGCCGCATTGTATAGGCCGATATACATTATTATTATTATTAGTACTGCACGTGTTGTGTCGTGGAATTTACATAATTGTCAGATAATTCCCCCCCTCCATATGCCATGCACTGCGCCAGGAGCGGTTACTTCACGACCGGTGTGCTGTGAAGTGGCCGAGATATGGACACACGACAGAAATTGATTGTTGAATCCATCTGAACTGAAACTTTCGTGTGAACTTCCCCCCCCTCTCTCTCCCCCCTCCGTTGGTAAGTTGTCTCTGAGTGCTCCGCTCTCCTCCCACGTAAAACCAAACACTCAACAATGGAATTGGTCAAACATCTCGATGCAACATCCTCCTGAAAAAGAAAAACGAGCCTCGAAACCCACGACTACATATGCACGAGGTTGCGCGCACACATCTCGAGGCAGTATCGTGCACAAGCACGGACACGCCCCCTCCTGCACCAAAGAACTCGCCACGTGCCTCGGTAACATTCATCGCGCTCTGCTTCAAAAAAGGGGCATCGCCCGAAACGTCAACCTAACTGAAAAGCATGCATTTTGTGAGCCAGTTGTATTAATAAGTCTAATGTGGTGGCGCACAAAAGTCGTAGGTGCTGCGCCCTGCATAACTGCACCATCACACTGACCTTTGTTTTTCTCGAAGATTACCCTTCGACGAATGTGGAGATATAACTTCTTCAGACTGAACCGACGAGTGTATGGGATCATTCATATGACGCGTAACATATTCTCAAAGTCCTGCGGTTGTGTAAGATGAACACGGACATGGGGGGAAGCTTGTTGTGGAATAGTGGGGGGTGGTGAGGAGTGGAGATGTGGGATAGAAGGAAAAGGGTTTGAGAAATTGATGTAAAAGTATATGGGGAAGTCACTTGGAAATATTGGGTCATTTGTTAAAATCATGAACAGCAATTTTGTATTTACTATTTGCCTATTTAAGGATGGAGTTATTTATAACACCAGCTTCAACGCAAGTAGAACGGCACCTCCTAATATTACGAATGGCTAGGTATGGTGCGAAAGAAGTTCAACATACATACCTTATATTTAGACTTAAAGCTTTCGTGACTGCAGGAATTCACATTCTTGGTTTTTTCGGTAAAGTCACGTCGATAGGTTGAAAGAAAATAACAAAAAACTACGTCTCGATCACAACACAAGCGATCGTCATCAGGAGGATCGGAAGGATGACGGTCGCTTGTGTTGTGTGATCGATACGTCGTCGTTTTATATTATTTCAACCTATATCTACCGAAAGACCAAAAATAATATGGTGAAGTGTCGTCAAAGAAACTACCACGGCCGACATCGCGCGGAAGGTCCCTTCAGGCAGCATTTGGTTGACCAAGGGGCTGTACATGATAATACGGTTCCCTTAACTATCATGAGCCAGTTGTGTCCATACGCCTACGAATCATCCCAATCAACCGACCTGCATTCAAAGGAGACGATGCAAACGCCAGCTTCGAGGCGAGCAAGAACAATGACGACGTCTGGACGGCGTTCACAACGCACATCTCGATCATTCATTCGTCTTGGGCACGCAGACCGCGTCGCGAGGCCATCAGGCACGCGTCCAACGCGGACCGGGTCGCGTTCAAAGCCGCGGCCCTTTCTCACACAAATGCGCTCATCATAGACGCGACACCCACGTGCATTTCGCAAAGGCCTCGGTAGTGTTCGACGCGGACGCCGTCGTTGTGATTCGAGTGCTACTTCATTGAATGGGGAAACCAATCACACAGATAGCGGGCCGGGTAGGCGGTGTTGAGCGCACTAAGATTTGAACCCCCTTGCAACGTGAGTTGGATTCCCGGCTACGGATAACATCAGTGGCCCGGCGTATGTGTGTGTACCGTATGTTGAACTTTTTTCGCACCGTACGCAGCCAACCGTGCTCATCGGAGGCGCGAGGGACGGCAAAACAAACTGAACACAAAAAGGCAGGTTCCAAAGAAAGAGTGATTATATAATCTGTTCGACCGTGCCCCCCCCCCCTCCTAGCTGTAGTGGAGGATGTTCAAACAATCCCGTATGTCCTACGCGGCACGAGAGGGAGCTTCATCCCGTCGTACACTATTATTACTAACTGCATGCACGTTGAACTTATTTTGCACCTTCCGTAAGCGTACCGTGCTAAGCGGAGGTGCGGGAATATATTTAGAATAATTGTATGATGCTATACGTATTAAACACAACCTCCCTGCTTCGCTATTTACATTGATTCTTTACACACACGCACACACCACGGCCTACATCAAGGGCCACTATATCGGTCATTAATATATCACACGAAACCAAGAACCTAGCTGGGCAGCAATTTTACGCGCGCGCACACGCACACACACACACTGCGCTCGCGTCAATCTCGCTGTTGCTAAACGATGCACGGGCCTTGTCCAGCGTTCTGGAACGCCGTAAGGAACGACGGCGAGACACACTTCATTGATTGTTGAAGGCGGGGGAAACCTGCCGGGGCACGTTGGGTGTGAACAATTCGACTCGGCGCTCTTTTTGCCGGAGGTCTGCCGCGGACTCCAGACGAAAGGTGAGCAACACGTGCAAGTGAATGACTCGCGCAACTTATTAACAACCGGTGACAGGGGTGTGTGTGTGTGTGCCCTGGGCAGTGCGGGCTCCGAGTGCGGTAACGCACTTAGCATGGAGAGGAGGGGGGGGTTCCTTGGGATAGACTCCCTGCCGCGTGATTCACTGCGGCGCAGTGGCACCTCGAATGAAGAGCACGGGGGTTGTGGTGTGATAGCGCATCTGGCGCGAGGTTGACACTTTCTGTTTTTTTTTTGGGGGGGGGGGGCAATTGATGTTCGATTTGGATTCCCGCGCGGTCGAACGTCGGTCACGCCTGATTCACACATACAGATTGGTTTCGCGGTGTTGTCTGTCGCATTGTCTCGACTACTTTAGGTAGGAACTTCTGCTATGGCATAATTATTGTGAAGCGGCGGGGGTGTGGGTGGGGGGGTCGTTCCATTGCTAGGGGGCACAGGCCAGGTGTTGCGCCATCTGCAGGAGTAACAACGTGTTTGTCGGTAAACACGCACCTCTTGTTCGGGCTTTTAGAGCTTAAAGCCCGCATGCCTAATGGGGCAAAGGGGGCAAGACACATCTCAATTGGCGCTAATGTGCTGAGAAAAAAAGGCCGCAGAGCGATGGAGCGAGAGCCGCTGATTTGCTCTCCGAGTCTAATCTGTTCATCCCGAGAGAGAAGGCAGCGCGCGACGACTCCGGGCGCCCCGCCACCAGATTTGCGCTCTAATTGGCCCAAAATGAAGAGCCAATAAGAGGCGGGCTTTCTTTTGGCCTTGAGCTAAGCAACCCCCACCCCACCACACCCACCGCTACCCCCCCCCCCCATCCGTACTTCTCCCATCCCTCCAGCCCCTCGGAACCTCATCACATCACAACCCCTGAAGCTTCCCCCCCCTCCTCCTCCCAAACTCCGCGAGCGCCACCCTCCCCCAACACCCCCCCCCCCACTCCCCATCACGCGTCCCTCTCTTCGCCCCGTCTGCAGCCCGCACCCCGAAATGCACCCCCACCACTCCCACCACCACCACCACCCACCTCCTCCTCCTCCTCATCCCCACCAAAAAAAACCGGGAGGTGGACTCATTACAAGCGATCCGCTTGTTATGCCGAGTAATCCCATTTGTCATTGTGCTTGCCCAATCGCCGCGCGTTCCTCGCTTGTTAGGCGTTTAACTTGTATGACATTTTTATTTCATCATTATCATCCGCCTCTCACAAATTGGCGCCGGGCTGACGCTCCGCTCCTGTCTGGGACGTGCAAGTTGGCGAGATTCGCTCACCCCGTTCGCTCGCTCGCTCGCTCCCACTCACCCGCTCGCTCGCTCTCTCGCTCGCTCCCACTCAAGAGCGAGCAAAGCGAGTAACCGAGCCATGTTCACCGCCCTCTCTCGTCTCGCGAGCCGCGCCACTGCTCCCTAGAACAGCTCCGCCTCGGAGGGAGAGCAAGGAGAGAGAGTAGAGAGAGAGAGAGAGCGGGGAGAGAGAAGAAAGAGGAGAGAGAGAGAGGAAAAAAACATCCAAGCGAGAGGGAAAGATCGACATCGCCGATGCGCCTTGGACACGCTTTTCTAAGCTCCGCGCTGGCATTTCTTATTTAGGCGCTATTCGTCGCGTGGAGTCGAATTCATTTTTTTTGTTGTCTTTACTCCGCACACAGAGAGACCGAGGCGTCGCCACGGGACGAAGAAAAAGATGTCCGAGAAAGCGACCACGCCGCAAAATCCCGGCCCCAACAAAGTGTCATCGTTCTTCATCCAAAATCTTCTCAATTCCGAAGACAAGCCCGCGACCAAGCCCGAGCGCCAGCTCATCTGTTTCGGATTCGGCAATGTGCGCTTCGGCGAGGAGATGTCGGCTCTCGGGCACGGCGCGGGCCTCGTGGTGGCTCCGTTCGAGATCCCCATGCCGAGATTCGCAATGCCGCCCTTTCGCCTCGTCGAGAAGTCCATTGCCCCGTGGCACCCCTACCTCCCGTTCGGACAGACGGAGAGTGAGTATCCACCCAGCCTGCACTCATGCACGCGCCCGTGCGACTGCCTTCGGAGCGGCGGCATACACTCGCACATGCTACGCTCACGCACAGAACATACACACAGTCCGGGGTATATATATATAAATATATAGTTACTGTCTCTCAGTGTGGTCGCAATATTTGACTGCGAGTAATAAAATACTGGGGGGGGGGGGGGGGAAGTGACACACACAGCGGTTTTTTTTATGACGGAAGATTAATGCGAGCTGTCCGCTGCAGTGCAAGTGTGTAGGTAATTCTGTGTGGCTTGGCTGTGTGAGTGCAACTGTGCGCGTGCGTTTAACAACTGTGTTCTTCGTGTTTGCGAGCGCCTACTAAGACATGCGGCGAGTCGCGCTAATTAATGACGCTTGCCTCCTGCACACTCTTCACGGCTGATACGGGGTTCTGTTTAATGTGTGTGTAACGGTGTGACCGCGTATGCGTGCATGCAACTGTGTGCGACTCAGTTGATGTAACTGTGTTTGTGTACCTGCGCGCGCGTGCGCGTGTGTCACAGGTCCTAGGGGATGCTCCCCGTCTCTGCCCAACAGTGATCACGCCTCGCCGTCTCCCTTCAGCGACCGGGGCTCTCCCGGCACCGCGGCCAATAAATGCGAGGACGCGGACGGGGGAGACTCGTCGAGGGGCGCCGATGAGCAACTCACGCTGCACAAAACTGCCGCCGCCGCAGCCGCCGGTGCAACCGAAGACGCAGCAGACGCCAAGGAAGAATCCATTGGCGACAGCGGCTCCGAGCGACAACTCGAGACGAGCGGCGGCAGCTGCGGCGGCGGCGGCGGCGTCGATCTTCTGGAGAAGAAGGGCGGACGCAAGAAGAAGACGCGGACCGTGTTCTCTCGGAGCCAAGTGTTCCAGCTGGAGTCGACGTTCGACATGAAGCGCTACCTGAGCAGCGCGGAGCGCGCGGGTCTCGCCGCGTCGCTGCACCTCACCGAGACGCAGGTGAAGATCTGGTTCCAGAACCGGCGCAACAAGTGGAAGCGCCAGCTGGCCGCCGAGCTCGAGGCCGCCAACCTTTCGCACACGGCGCAGCGCCTGGTCCGGGTGCCCATCTTGTACCACGAGAGTTCAGGGGTCAGAGACGCGGCTGCTGCTGCTGCTGCTGCTGCGGCGGCGGCGGCGGCGGGCAGCGCCCACGTGCACGGCGGGGCGAGCCACTTGACGCGGCCTCTCTTGCAGGGCTTCGCCCACCCGCTGCCGTACATGCACCAGGCCATCGGCAGCCCTATGCCCGTGATGCGCTCTATGACTGGCTTAGTGTAACAAACAAACAAACAAAAACACTATTTTGAACGAGTTTTTTTGTTGTTTTTGTTTTCCATTGGTATATATTGGATTTGTGTTTTTTTACATGAAATATTCTGGTTTTTTTGTACTAAGATGTAAAGTGTGAGAATTCAAGCGCCCAGCGCGTTGCTTGTAATGCGCAAGTTGGCGCGTGTGTGTGTGTGTGTGCGCGCGCGCGTGCGTGCGGAGATGTGTCTACTACTGAGATGTAAACAACAAAAACATTGACGTTTGTTATGCTTGTCTTGTAAGTATCGCTTACGGTATATATATACACACACACACACATTGCACGCGTTTAATCGACGGCGCGTCTGAGCTAAGATCGCGTACACGGCACAGTCCGTTTTGTCAACCCGGACCCGAGCTGAGACGCACCGTCAACTGTAAAACATGTATGTAAAGTGTTCCATACACGCTCGGCATCTTTCGCTGTTCTCTTAACGATTGTGTACATAAGGGTATTTTATTGCAAATGTTGGAAATTGGGAGGAGGGGGTGGGGGGGGAACGAATGTACAGATTAAAAACAGATCGAATTACAATATATATGCTGTATATTGTCGCCTATACCCGTCAAACGTTAATCGCGTCCGTCTATCGTTCATTTCTCCCATGAAATTGCTGTCCTGTATTTCTCCACCGCGCTCGCCGACTGAGAGGAAGACGTCGCGTGAACGTCGCGTGAATACGAACGGATGTGACAAAGCAAGGCCCGCAACCCCCTTCCCGTCTCCTGCGCGAGGTGTACACGTGTACTTTTTTAAAGAGACACGTGCTTATTTATTCGCGTCGCGCTCCGTCATCGCCAACTCGCCACACACGTGTTTCTTGCCACGACCGTCAAAGCTGGCCGTCCTCAGTCGGCCCCCTACTTCGTATTTATTCGCCCCAGATTGTTCTTATCGCGTCCGTTTTGTTGGGGAGATGCGAGCTGCCAGATAACGTTGCGGAGAGAAGTACGAGCGAAGCCCCATTAAACGTGAACTTCTGATCATTTTACCAATTTCTTTTTTTTGGTTTATATTTTGTTGTTTCGTTACTTGCTTCCGGCGTTTTGTACATTTAATTAAGTTACACACGCACTTTGAATAAATTGTCACACGGTACTCCTATTGACGTATCCTAGCATCATCGACTTCTTTAGCGTTCGCAACACGAGGTTTATTATGCACCCACTACATCTTAAGGGCTGTCTCGTGACATTGGTTGTCGAAACCGTCCTATGATTAAATTGCTACTTTTGAGAAAAGCATATTTTTGATGAGATCTTTAATTGTCGAGATAATTAAAACTTCATAGGCTATACGTGATTTAATTTACTGTTAAAGCAACAGCTTCTACATCCGCTGTGCAAATACATTGTGTAAAAAAATAAGCCGTGTTCTATGCACTGCTGTGCAAATTGTGTTGTTTTACAGTGGTTTTTTTTACATTAATTAATTACCCATTAATCATCCCAATCCACAGTAGCAGGCATTATATGATCCACTCTCGAAGCGGTCTCCATCTCTAAGGGTCCTGCAATGTAACGATCCAACCTAACACCTGCACACGAGCTAAATGTATCGCTCCACCTCCGTGATGGCCGCGTCCTAATCACGAAATTTAATTAATTAAAATTGGGGGGGGGGGGGGGGTAGGGTGGGGGGTGAGGAGCAGGGGGGAGCGTGCGAGGGGGAAGTCCACCCGAGTGGACTTCCGGACGTTATTTGGCAAAGCCGATGTGCTCGAAAAAGTTTTCGTATGAGTTGGAGCAATTAGCAGCAGAGCCTTTTGTGCTCGCGATAATGAAATGGCTTCGGGGTCAAGCTGTGTTTGCACTGCCTTTATGCCGGCGAAGTTAACATCGCTGTTTGGGGCCCATTCGCCTGTAACAGTGAAATCCTCGGCCTGTCGAAACCAATAACCACGCTACAGTTAATCCGTGCAATGCTGTCTGAACGGTCTCTTCCGTTGTTATTTTACCACCGTTAGCGCGGGCGCCAAGCGGCGCATTCACGCAACTCGCTGTAGTCGTTGTAGTGTCTGTGAGCGAGTCTGTGTAGGCGCGCGGTCGTGTAAGCGTTTATCCCGCTGCGCTACGAGCCCGATGAGCCGAGTTCGATTCCCGCTCACGGCCAACACCGGTGACGAATATCTGAACCGGTCCTGGGCCTCCCCTAGGTCGACTCAGGCTCAAATGAGTACCTGGTACGGTGTGTAAACATTGTCACTGGGGGAGACAAAGTAGGCCGAGCGTGGTGTTGGCCACCCACTCGCTTCGTGTGCCGTGCCGGCCTTCATAGGTGCTCGCTTACAGCACTTGTCCCAACAGTATGTTAAGGCTGTACAGGGGATCTTTGTAGGGGAGCGGGAATGTCGTTGCTACGAGTTCAATTTTCGCTCACGGCCAACACCAGTGATAATTATAATGATCATTGGTGTTGGCCGTGAGCGAAAATTCAGATAATTATCTGAACTGATTCTGGACCTCCCCTAGGTCGACTCAGGTCTAAATGAAGTACCTCGTGCAGTGTGTGTGCAAACGTCAGCAGTGGGGAGACAAAGACGACTGGGCGTGGTGCTGGGCACCCATCCTCTAGCGTGCCGTGCTGGCCTTCATTTGGTGCTCGCTCACAGCACTTGCCCCGAGTCTGTTCAGGCTCTGCTGGGGGTCTTTGTCTATGTATGTTTTATTATTATTCTTATCATCATCAACGGCTAACCCGAGCTACCATGGAATGTGTTGCAATTTACCGTCCACGTATTTGTGTATATGTGAGTGTAAAATAGGGCTTATTTTCTAACTCGATATACAGTATGATGGAACCCTGCGAGTAGGAATTATTGGCACAAGGCACTACCCCGCTAGAACATCCATATTTTGACTCTATATTTCAGTATTGTCCTTAAAGACTTCTGGTAACCCTGACGCACCTTCAAGCACGGGTTTTGCTTACAAGACAACGACAAAGCCTGTAACAGACTATAGGGGCAAGTCCTGTTAGCGAGCACCAATGAAGAACCGGCACGGCACACGATGGGGTAGTTGGTTAGCACCACGCCTAGCCGCCTTTGTCTCCCCCAGTGGCGATATTTACACACCGCGCCAAGGTATTCATTAAAACGAAGTCGACCTCGGGTAAGGTCCCGAAGCGGTTCAGAAAATCGTCAATGGTGTTGACCGTGAGCGAGAATCGAACTCGGGTCGCCGGGTTCGTAGCGCACAGCGTGCTGTCCACTGCACTACCGTCACACACTCCGCCGCACAGAACATCACACGGCATCCCGAGAACACAACCAGATGAAACGTGGCGAAAATAATTACCAGATCAGCGTTCCGGACTGTTCCTCCTGAAATGAAGCACTGCAAATGTGTACAAACACACGTATATATGTATGCACACATGGGCCTTGATAGGTGCTAGCTAGCAACACTTCTCCCACGTGTCTGCGATGCAGGCTAAACGGGATATGTAGATGTCTTTATATACACATACACTGTTCATGTACTGTTTGGATATTACACGAGGAGTGAACAATGTGCGTCTATATACAGTATATATATAGATCTACACATATATTACGTGGGCACTGAATGGACAGCTAATTATGACACGTGTAATTAATTAACCGTATATGGCGCCTCTACACACTAGAGGACACACACACACGCATGCACGCACACACACACAGTTGTGACAACAGGACATCGTTCTGCAAAAGGGGCGCATTTAATCGTCGCATTCATATTACATATTACGAAGTTAATTATAGATACGATTATTTGGTACGCAATTTAGTTTCAGTGTAGGTAAATGTGACGCTTTTATGAAGGCCATTAGGATACTCGACGTAAAGAGCCCTCTTTGTATTGCCCCAGTACTTTTTTTCGCCGCTTTCGGCAAATTCACTTTAGCGTTGAATCATTTAAGGTGTATGTGAGCCTAGACAAATACATTGAGAGCTTCATGCATACTGCATACGAACACATAGAAACGCACAGGTATATCGGCTCTTCGCGTATAGGTTATAGTAGAAATGCGCATGCACTTTAACAGCATGGCCCATTGTCCAATGGTGCATCGCACCGTGTGTAAATAACTGATAGAACATTTAAAAAAATGGACTCGCGTACATTTTTTGTACGCATACAAATGCACTTGCCCGCGTGCTCCGCTTTCCTACGGCGTGTGAGTTTGGCCGATAACACCTTCATATATAGAGGACCGCAGAGTTTGGGCAATGGTTGGTGCCGGCTCATCGCGTGGCTGCCTTCCTGCTTGTTTCTCCGGTCCCTCGTGCGCCCCCGAGTCGTTCTCGCGCTACGAGAGCGAGCAAATCGTTCGGCTACGCTTCATAAGTTGAGACCATTGTAATAACAATTAATTTGTGTTTTGAGTAAGGAGTCATGGTGAACTGAAGTTTGTTCAAGTGTCTTCACCGTATGACGGTTTATGTTTACGAAAGCATCTACAAACTGTAAAAAAGCCTCAATTAGTAAGCTAAGCTTATACTGATTACGAGACTTTGTAAATATATATCACATAAACACGCGCAATCCAAAACGTGAATTATGGATCCCATAAAGATCGGGGAGCTACGTGAACATTACATACATATATATGCGTTTACATTGACCCATTTTATAAGACATCCCACAAGTGTTGACTTAAGAAAAATTAAGTGGCCTTGAGGGCAGGCCACCGTTGCAGGAACGGGATAACGACCGGTGTAGGTCGAGACTAACCACGGAGTAGCAGTCAAAGGAGTGAACACACCCGAAAGAGAAGACAGTCCACGGCAGAGAGGAAATCAACTAGGGTGCCGAGCTGTGTACGCCGAGCGCGCGAAATGGATCGTGCCATCACGGGATCGACCTCTTCTTCTCTGCGCACGGCTGGATGGAGACGGTTTTAAGGCCTTCATCAAGCAGTGGATATCTCATGGCTGCTGCTCGTGATGATGATGATGGCTACACGTGCTATGCAGACACACGCGCAGACACGTTTTATAATTGTGCAGGGATGCGCACGGAGGGCCACGTGACGACCTTGCCTTGCTGAGAGGGCTCGCTTGGGCTGCGCGGGGTGGAGTTCACTCGCGCTCACCGTTCCACCACCCACTCAACCACTCACCCACTCAACCACCCACCCACCCACTCCCTGCAGCTCACCGCGGGACCACGCGCATTAGCCTGCTTGAGAGAGGGGCCGTGATCAATTCGAGTCGATAATAATGATCATTTGCATCGCAAGAACGCCGCTGAATTAATCATTTAATGACTAATGTACCATTAGCGGTGGTTTTAATTGCCGGGTCGATACATCACTGCCCCGAGCAAGAACAGAGGGCGCAATTATGGCAGACGCGGCGACCGGACCATGCCTGTCTCGACAGCCGGGATCAAATCGGAAAGCCTTCGCCTCGTGTATTTACGGGAGCCACTGGCGCTGCGAGGTTTTTGTTGTTGTTGTTGTTGTTGCTGTTGTTGTTGTTGTTCCCCCTTCTTCTCTCTTCTGCTGCTTTGGTAATATAGTGTGATCCACGTATAGACGCCCCACTCAAATAATAAAGGGGTTGTAGCGAGGTTGGTGGGGGGACGGGTATAAAGTACAGGGGGAATAATGTTTGACAGTAAAGCATCTCTAAGACTCCCACCAATCATTGTACACGAATTAAAAATCATCTGACGCTAACGTGGTCAATCACGATATTCCATCACCTGTTGAAAAGCATTGTAAGAGGGGAGGGTCATGATAAATAAGGGCACCCACGAACGGATCACCCATGTATTTTTTTAAGCAAAACTCTCTCCACGCACGTTCATTACACGTTTTAACCACAATACCGTGCGGTCGGAAACCAACAAAAATAATACGAATAAAAATATACACACGTAGAATTATTAATTAGTTGCAACACTCCAGAGGTTGGTCTGTGTGTGTGTAATTAACGCACTCTGAGCCATTTAACATGATATATTAAGCCCGCGCTAAGGGCTGCTATATTTGCGGCAA